CTACTTTATGTGTTCACTCCTTCCAGATACTCAGGTTTGCTATCCCTGAGAAGTTGGATGTTTTCAGAGGTCAGGACTATTGGCCCTCTGCAAGAACAGCTAGAGAGCATTTCTCATTTCACCAGTGCTTTGCCCCAAACACAGTTACAGGGTTTGTATCCTGCAAACCTTGCAGATGATGCCACCTCCACCTGTTCCGAGAGGGACTTGCCCTTTTATTTTCTGCTTTCCTGAATGGAGTGCAAAGATGTTTTTTGGCAGCAGACTTTGCTCTGGGATCCAACCGTGCCAGCAGAGCCCTGTTCTGCCGTAGGAGCCTTACTCAACTTGGTGTAACTGTTCCCTGTCCCTAACTGCGACAGGCTTTTTTTCATGAGTGTACTTTTTTTTGTCATGTGTCTGTGCTGTATTAAATAAAGAGGAATGTACATACTATCTGTCTCCGTGATTTCTCACAAAAATAACGGTGTAAAAAGGTTTCACTTGAATTGTTGTCACTTGGGCCTTTTTGTTGGGTTTTTCATTGTTGGGGGGGGGGGGGGCTTTCTTCAGTCAGGGCAACCACAAAGGCAAGGGAGATACTACGAGCAAGGAGCAGCATTTTAAAACTCGGACGATTAGTACACGAGGGAACTCGTCCCTTTTCAGTTTGTCATTCCAAGGCAAAGTCCGGCGTCCCGGCCTGCTGTACGAGCTGAGGGAAAGCTGCCGCCTCCCTTCCAGGCCGGACTGCCGCCATCTCCAGCGACAGTCCCACCCCGCGCTCCCAGCGGCTACGCGGCAGGCGTCTTCCGGTTCGCGAGCCGCGCGCGTAGCGGCCTTGCCCAGTCAGCACCCTTCAACACCCGCCATAAAAGAGGGGCGGGGACAGGAGAGAAGTAACGACAGAGAGAAAATGATTTCGCGGCAGCCCCAGTGGCCTAATGGATAAGGCATTGGCCTCCTAAGCCAGGGATTGTGGGTTCGAGTCCCATCTGGGGTGGGCTTTTTTCCCCCCCTCCCTCTCTCCTTTTCTTTCTTTCTTTCTTTCTCTCCTTCTTTCTTCTTCTCCTCTCTCTCCTCCGGCCGAGTCGAGTCGGCCCCACCCCGCACCACCTCTACAACGGTCAAACTGCGCTGGCTTTCCACACCGCAAGCCCCGGGCTCCCTCTGATGTCTGAGCGTCCCCCGTTGGTTCTAACGAGCTGTAAAGCGTTTTAAGACCGGAGACCTCAGAGGCACGCGTGGGCTGCTCGGGGCGGTGGGGGGGGGATACGGGCCCTTCGGCTGCCTCCCGCCATCCCGCCCCGCTACCTTCGGCCGCTGCCCAGGTCCCACGCGCGCGCGGGCCGCTCCTCCACCAACCCAACGACCCGGGGAAGGAGGGGGGCGCGAGGTGCGCGCACGGGCCTCGGGACGGCCTCGCCTCGGCGCTGGACCTTCGGCACGTGGCCTCCACTGACTGCAGGAGGCGGGGGGGGGGGGGGGGGGGGTTTTAGGGGAATGCGGACGTTCGCCTCGGCGCTCGATAGCCCGCGTCTCCTCCGCGTTCCCCCCGGCCGAGGTTGAAGCCGGCGCGCGCCGGCCGCTTCCTTATTGGCCGTCGCGGCGAGGCGGCCGCGCTCGATTGGTCGGCGGGGCTGGGAGGGGTGTAAGATGGCGGCGCTGGGCTCACCGCTGCGGACCTTGCGCGGGCTCCTGCGCGAGCTCCGCTACGCCGGCGGCCGGGCGGGCCGCCCCTACCGCGACACGCCGGCCTACCAGCACGTCGTCGCGGCATTCCGCGCCCACCGGGTACGGGCGGGCTTCCCGCAGCCCCCACCGCCCGCCTCCTCCTGCCGCCGCCGGGGAGGCGAGGCGGGAGCGCCCCTGCCCGCGGCCGCGCAGCCCGGCGCGGAAGGTGAAGCGTCCCGGGCTTGTTCCCTCCGCTCCGCAGGTCACCAGCGAGAAGCTGTGCCGGGCCCAGCAGGAGCTGCACTTCCAGGCTGCCACCTACCTCTGCCTGCTCCGCAGCGTCCGGGAGCATGGGGCCCTGCACCAGGAGTACCACGGCAAGGGGGAGCGCTCGCCCGAGGAGGTCGCCGGTCTGGTGGGCTTCAGGTTGCCTCAGCAGCCGGGAGGGAAGGGCTGAGGTGCCTCTCCTGTGGTACCCATCTATTCCTGAATAAATATCCTAGAAGTACCGAAACGGCCTGGGTTTTCTAGCTTGCGGTCTCTGTCGGTCGCAGGTTGCAAGAGCCATAGCTGAGAATCCCCCTCTCGATTTATCAAGTGTACCAGACCCACCCTTTCAATCTGAACCTGCAGTGTGACAGGCAGCCTCCACACAACGAGAGAAAGGCTGTTCGTAGTGGAAAAACATGACAGCCTTCACCGCTAAACTGTTTTGTCTAAGGAGTTGCATGGGTTGTTGGTTCCCACCCCCCCCAATCTGTAGGAAAGAGAATTTGCCCTTACTGTAGGTTTTGCCAGCCACCTTCTGCCTGGGGGGGATTTCTTGCTCTCCCAAAAGTGAAGGTGCTTTCTTTGGAACATTAGTGGATTCTGGCGAGCACTGCAGTAGCACAAACCTCCTTCATCTTGAAGAGTCTGGGTTTTCCTTGGTGGTGAGCTCGTGGTAACAATTCAGAGACAAATACTACTTTGAATTACTAATGAATTAAGTAGTATTTCTCAGTGTCTCTGAGCGGTCGACTGTGACTGTAGGCTTCCTGTGCTGCTCTTATACACCACGAATCTCAGAAAAACTTCACTAGGCCGTGAACTGATGACTGCCAGTTACACTAGATACACATACCAGGCTGCTGTTTTCTTGCTTGTCTTGCAATCTGGAACAGCAAGTTTCTTTTTATAAGAAAAGAAATACTGGCTTGAATCGTTGCTACCCTCTTCTCAGAAGAGGGCTGAATTATATGCAAGATACATAAGAAATCCATAATAAGGGTGACTTTATAACATCTAAAAAATGTGAGGCTTGTTTACGTGGGGGAGGACCTATAAGCAAGGCTAGCAAAAGTCCTTGGGTTTTTTTATTACCAGGGAAAACAAAGTATTTTGTCAGAAAAGAACTCCAAATAGATTTTCTTCATCTAAATGTTTATATTTTCCTTCCCCTGCAATTAAAGCTTGGGGATAGTTTAATCCCCAAAGTATAGTGGATAGGCAAAATAGATCCTTAAAGCTGGAGAGATTTGGGCTATTTAGGTAAGGTAAGGAAATGTGAACTACAATTTTTAAGGTTCTGTACACCAAAAATCTAGTTTGTAATTCCTGCAGTGTCTCACTAGTTAAACAGTGGTGGTTTTTTTGAAAAGTGTTGATATCACAGGTGCAAAAGTACCAACCTATTTGCAGCTCAGTAGATGAAAGTTATGGGAAGTCACCATACCCCGAGAATGGGTGCGACACATTCGTTGTTCTGAGTTATTTAACGCAGCCGCTGCACAATGCAGTGTACTTTCCAGGTGGAGTAAAGGTTCGCTCCATCTGAAGTCTGTGGTATATTACCCCAGAAGAAAAATAAATGGCTCACTGAAGCCAGTTCTGGAAGAAAAGCTGAAATTTGGCCAGAAATAGATGGAAACAGCAATCTCTGCTCTTTTTAAAAAGACTACCAGGAGCTAAAGGTTGTACTGCGTGGGTACGAATATCAGCTAAAATGTCTCCATAGGGAAAATTTCAGCCTGTATCTGTATCGCTTCCAGTTATGTCCCTTTCAATCCAAAGTAACGTAATGACTTACAAATGGAAATGTCTATGTTAAAGAAAACACAGCCAGGATGTGTTCTGAATGGCTGAGAAGCACTGGGTAGGGGAATCTTTTCCTACACCTGTTCCAGAGGACTCCTGTTTGAGCCTAGCATCTTCCCTTGTGAAATCCAGATAATCGCAAAGTTGTAGAGTTTTTTTAACGGCTTTTCACGTTGCCTTTTCTCTCCCGTATTACGTTAACCTTAAAAGCTGAACGTGACCCCCCGGCTGTGGACAGCTAGAACTGATCCTCGTTACAGTCATCGACGGCCCCTGGGCACTAGATGGCAACACGGCGGCGAAGGAGGGGATAGTCACAAAACGCAGGCGTTAAGATTGATCGAAACGGTGAATGTATTTTCTTCCCAGACTGGATCTTGGTGCTCCGTGAGCCGAGCTAGCTGCAACACGTAACTTCGGCTTTAAGGGCGGTTCTCTACAAAGCGGGTGTTACGGCAGCTCTTCTCACCGATGCAACTCTTAACCGCGCTGGACAGCTGGCGCCATCGAAACGGCGCCGGGCGGCCGCCAAACGACGGAAACAGTGTTGAAGCCTATTCCCTCAGCTGGGGCTCGGCCGCGCGGGCCCGTTCCCCCCCGCCCCGATGCCGAGGCCCGCCCGCGCCTTTAGGAACTCGCTCCCGCCGCACAGCCCGGGCTGCCCTCCCGCTCCCCGTGGGCTCCCGCTCAGCCACGTGCTCTGGCACGTTAGAACCAACCGTCGCGGGGCCGCTCCGCTGGGCTCTCCCCTCAGAGAGGGACGGACGCGCCGCACGTGGCGCTGCCCGCCTTCCCCCGCCGGCAGCGGAGCCCAGCGGCCCCGGCCCCGCCCCCGCCGGCTGCCGCTCGCGGCGAGCGCGGCCGCTGCCGACCCGGAGAGCGGGACGTCACAGCGGCTACGCGGGGCCATCCGGACAATCAGCGCGCCCCAGGGGGCCCAGCCCGGCGACCCAATCAGGGTCCTCGCTGCGCGGTGCGTCACCGGCCGAAAAACGCGCGCTGCGGCCAATCAGCGGGCGCCAAGGTCCGTCCGCGCTTGCGTCACGGAGCGGACGAGGGGGCCCCAGGGCGCATGCGCGCGGGTTTCCGTTACCGCTGGCGCGCGCACGCGTGGCGGGCGTGAGAGGAAGCGGGAGGAGCGGAGGGGGGAGGGGAGAGGCGAGGCGGCGGCGGCACCACCACCACCACCACCACCACCACCACCGAGGCCGGCTTCCCGCTCCGCCTTCCCGCTCCGCCTTCCTGCTCCGCCTTCCACCTCCGCCTTCCACCGGCAGCGCCAGACAGAGGCAGCGCCCGCTTCTCCACTCCCCTCCCCCCCGCGGCGTCGGGAGAGCGGGTCGGCCCGGGCCCGCCAGTGACGCGAGGGGGAGGGCTGAGCGCCGCGCCGGGCCTCGGGCCTTGTAGGCCGCTGTCGGCGTGACTCGGCCGGGCCGGCCCCTCGCGCGCTCAAGATGTCGGCGCAGGCCCAGATGCGCGCCATGCTGGACCAGCTCATGGGCACGTCCCGGGACGGTAAGTGCCCCCCGGCCGAGGAGGGGGGAGGTGGGGAGGCGGAGCCGCCGA